AAAATAAAACATGAAGATTTAAAAACTTACTTGAGTTTCATCCATGGAGTTTTCGATTTCTTTAATCAAGTATTAAGGGTGATTTCTTTGATCAAGTAATAGGGATGATTTCTTTGATGGTGATTAATAGAAGATATGCAAGTTTAGGAGAAGGTATGGATAGTTTAGGAGAAGATATGGATGGAATTTCAAAAGTCCCCTTGTATTCGGTTCGGTTGGGTATTTTTTTTGGGAAAAAGTTGGTATCTTATACCAAAAAACCAAATACCAAAATACTAGAAAATTAGGAATCGAGTACCAAACCGATTAGATACATATGGTTCAGTTTTGGCTCGGTTCGGTCCTGTTTCAAATCGGGTAATTGTTCCTCGAGTCTCATCTGTACATGATAGTGAGTAGGAAACAATATGATATACATGTGTTGTGACATAATTCATATGTATGATTAAAGCTTGGAAGTAAAGCATGCTCTATGATTTGAAATATCAATCTCAATTAGCATGCACATTTCAGGCTTAAGTATGGAGTAAAACCAGATAGATGAGGACTAGAAATTGTTGAATTTACAAAAAAAAAAAATCTTATTTCCAACATATGTAGCTTCATTAGTTGGAAGAGAGTATTTGAAGTAATGGGTGTGAGCTATGATGATCAAAGTAGTAAAAATCGAGTAGCTCTATCCCATAATATATGGTAGGATAGTGAACCATATCATATGAATGATTATGCAATATCAAAATTCTATTTTTTTGTATGTCCATATTAAAGTGGGAGTATGTTTATTTAAAGTTTTCTTTCCTAAATTGGTAAGAGTGATACTTCTTCTGTTCTAAAATAAGTGTCTACATTTTTATTTATTTTTATCCCATATTAAGTGCTCAGTTTTAAAAATAAATAATTGAATTCTCAATCTATACTTAATTAATTCACAAATAATTAACAGTTGTAAAAAGAGAGAAATTAAATAAGTGTAAACTTGTCATTTGATTAACTAAAAAATGTAATAATTATGCATGTCTAAAATTGTATGCCACTTCTATCGTGAACACTAATTATTTGGACGGAGAGAGTATGTTTATCCATTAAAAAAATTAAACTTACAAGCGAATTTAAACATTGAAAATTGAAAGTTTAAAGATTATAAAATGGGAAGTAAGTAGTACGTTTTTCTCTTTGGATGTGGATGGACTCGAATGTCATTTTAGGAAGAGCAAAATACCTCCCACAAAGAAAACAATATGGTTATTAACATTATCATTTACATAATGTCGAATAAGACCACATGAAAAACCCTGAAGGAAACTAAGCAACTAGACACCGAGATTTGTAATATGGAAAACCCTGAAGGCAAGATAAAAAATCACTAGTCATTTGGACCAAAGAATTAGCTCCACTATGATCAAATTATGATACAAAAAGTTCAAAGTATAAGCATAATCGTACCAAAAGTCTATAAATCGACCTAACAGCAAACCGTACTACTTGAAACAAGGTTTAAAGCCTGTAAATGATGATAACCTACTCGTCAATAATACCAACAACTAAGAAAGCAAAAGACAAAAAAGATATCTTAAAACAAAATTTCTCTTCAAGACCTGTATCTCATGCTTCAAACCTGCAATCCTAAACTCCATCGTTGAAAACGAAGAACATATGACACCTTACCAACTTGTTGCCCAAATGCTAGCCCGGTCCAATGGCTACCATATCTCCTATGACTTGTACAATGACAACCATATGAAAAACGAGATTTTTCTCTTCTTATTTTTGTCTCTTTTTGGTTGTTTATACCTCATTTTTATCTCTTGATTCATAAACACAAATACAACTCTCCATTTAAATTATACTAGAAGTCCACTCACCCGATGCAATGTGATATATTTCAATTATGAAGTAGAGAGCTCGAGCCATAAATCTTGATTCATTTTTGTTATGTTTGTTGTCTCTTTCGATTTAATTTTATGATTTTATGGTTTTAAGTGAGTGATAGAGTTATTCAATTGGTTATCAAGTATATCTAGCTACCGAAATATATGTAATCTATCTTATATTATTATTATTATTATTATTGTTTTATTTTATTTTATTTTGTAGCGAAAAAATTATAAAAAAATATGTCAACTGATTTTAATAACAGTTAGACAAAAGACATACGCTAAAATGAAAGAAATCTTTTAAACTTTGTTTATAACTACCAAAATAAAATATTGGATATAATATATAGAGAGGGAGGGGGAGATGTTTAAAATACAAACGATGTAAATGTTACAAATCATACAAATCTTATATTAGAAAATAATCGAGATATTTATAGACGATGATCGTGGTTCTTTCATTATGATTCATAGGGATATTTATGGAAGATGATCAATGTCACTTATTTTGATCATTGTTTTGAATTAGAAAACAATCGAGATATTTATAAAACCAAATATTCATTGACTAGATTGACGATCAAAATTGATTTGTATGATCTGTAACATTTATATGGTTTGTATTTAGAACGTCTTTTATATGTATAATAATATGTGTACCTATACATATATTTTCGAAATTTAATTTAAAATGTAAGAGTAATTTATTTTTTAATAAAAAAAGAAGTTAAATGAGATGTTGGATATCAGTTTGACTTTATTGTATTATACGAATTCAAGCATAGATTTTTAATAATTTGCACTCATGTATCATTAAGAGTCACTTTTTTTTATAAAAACTTTAACATGTATAGCAACTGTAATAAATAAAAATATACTTTGTGATAAAAAAAATTCCACAAGCACAATTGGGAATAAAATATTTATAAGAATATGAAATTAACAAGAATAAAATACTTACTTCTTATATATATAGGATTGGGTTTCACGTGAGACCAGTCTATTTAATTTAAGATGATAATTAAATATTTAGTTATCTTAATTATATTTTAAATTTTTATATTTAAAAATGAGATATTTATCATGTATTTGGTTATGTTTATTTGCAGTTAGTTATACGAATTCAGACATAGAGTTTTAATAGTTGTACTTATATACAATTTATTTGCAATCTTAAATTTTAAGTAATATGCATCAATAAATAGTATTTCATTCATAAAAAATAGTTTTTAAGAGTTTATGTCAAATGTTTTATAATATAATATAGATAATTTGTTTAATTAGAAAATTAATTATATTTAAGATGGAGTATTTATGATCTATATATATGAAGGTGTATCATCATGTTTATCATTGGATTATGTATCTTGTTATGTTTAATCATTTAAGACCGATTTAGGTTAGGCTGGACTTTGAATTTTCATAAAGGTTCCGGAGGTTGTCTTAGGGGTCGTTTACCAAATATTTACCCGATAAGTGCTTACGGGTTAAATTTAACACTACTATTTACTTATCAAGTAAGATTTTAGTCCACCAAAACGACATCGCATGTAACAATTTACACGGTAAGCACTTACCATGGTAAGAGTCGTCGCTCTCACTTACCGGGTAAGACTCTTGGTCTCTGTCTCATTCTTACCGGATAACTTGACTTAATAAGCACTTACCCGGGTGAGGTAACTTGACTTAATAAGCACTTACCCGGGTGAGGTAACTTGACTTAATAAGCACTTATCCGGATAAGCGTTTGGTAAACATCCCCTTACTCATTTTAGCCATCTATGGTAAATGGTAATTGATAATTTGGTATAGAACGGGAGCCCAAAGACCAAGGAAGTTCTAAATTCATTTTTTTCATATTTTACGAAAATTGAAACCGGTTTTGGACCATTGATCCCGATCGGTCTCGGGCCGGATCGGGCCCGGTCTTCAGTCAGTACCGAGCTTGACCATTTGACCATCTCTAATTAAGACCAATCCTTTCAGGCTTAGACTCCGTTACACTCATTATGGGGTGGAATCATGCCTCCTTTATTTACATTCATTTATATCAACAAAATCACAAAACCCAATGAACATTAGCATTACTGTATTTAGGGCATGTTTATTAGCAGTTTAATGAGCTTAATAGGATTAACAAACTTATTCGGTCAGCTGTGCATAACTATTTGGTGGTGGCTTAATGATATAAAAAGTGGCTTATCCAGTAAGCTTTTTAGGGAGAGTTTTATGCAGAAAAACGAGTTTTTTTCCAAACATGTTCTTTCCAATTAAAAAACATGCTCTTTCGATATAAGAAAAAACCCTTCTACACAAAATCTTTCTCAATCTATACAGACAGATTAATCACACATATTTTTTTATCCATACATCTATATACTATATTATAAAGCATTTGACAAAAACTCCTAAAAATCATTTTTTATGCATAAAAATTGATGCATATTACTTAAAATCCAGGATTACAAGTAATTTTGCGTAAGTACAACTTTTTAAAGCTTCATTTTTAAATTCGTGTAACTAACTGCAGATAAACATAATTAAATACATGATAAACATTCATTTTAAATATAGAAAATCTAAAATATAATTAAGATAATCATTGAGTTCTAAGAGAATGTTTAATTATTATCTTTATAAAAAGTTATATTATTAAACCAAAAATAAATTACTTTGTTAATAAATCTAAAATTAAAATATAATTAAAAAAATTGAATTAAAGAAGTTGCATCAAAAAACGAGAACTATTAAATAGTTAATTTGATACTAATATCAATTTATTTTTTTTCAAATTTATATTTCATTCAAAAATAAAAACGTTATCGTTTTCTCAAAACCACATAAAATCGAATTATATCGATAAACACAAAGAATAAAAACTAAATATTAAAACAGAGATTTATCTCACTGCATTACGCGAGTACCCTTCTATAACTTAATAAAAAACCAAGCAAACAGCCCCTTAGAGCCTCTCCAACAGATTCGTTAAAAGTTCTTCAAAATAGAGAATCAAAGTTTAAAATCTCTGAAAATAATTGCATTCGACTGCAACAGATTCTGCATTTTAGAGATTACATTATTAATGATATTATTACAATACATCATACGTTTGGTGTTCTTCGATTTGCCATCGACATCAGAAAAACTAATGAATCAAGAATCCTCAATGTACATATATCATAAGTAAAACACACCCTCGATCAAACGGATACAGGGGTCATCATCTTATCTCGTTAACAACATCGAAACGTCAAATTCAAAGATTATGAACTAGAATAGAACCAATTTAGTACACATAAAATAGATACAGTTGGTCACGTTGCCGTTTTGGAGTGCTTGATAAGCCAATCGATCACCATATCTATGTTTATCGACTCTTTGCAAGAGATCATGTAGCAGCAGACTTCTCTATCCGTAATCGTGTCAAGACCTCTGCAGTTTAGGGTAAAAAGAGAACGTAAGAAAGAATAAAGGGTCGAGCCTAAAACAAAGTCAAGGTTTGACTTTTGGGTGTGAAATGACTTACAGTTGATCCATCAAAGCTTGTTTGGTTAGAGCTTGTGACTTATCGATTTTGTTTCCTAAAACAAGCAACGGAATCCCATTTAACGAGGGCTTTGTTAAGAGGTCATGTAGCTCCGTTCTCGTTATGGGAATGCTATCTCTATCAGCTGCATCAACGACATACCTGCATTTGCGCAACACTCTTGAGCACTCCAAGCAGAAGAAAAACATGAAATATGTACCCTTTGGTTGGAAAAAAAAAACAAAGATAAATTTTTTATGTTTGGTCAAAACTAGCTTATAAACTAGTCATGCTTGGTCAAAACTAGCTTATAAGCTAGATGACAATGTAAAACGACCTAAAAGGACATGTTAAAAAATTAATTGGAGAAATATAATCGGTATAATTTAAAAAAATGGAAACAGCTAGGTTACTAACCAAATGGAGATTTTTCAATTAAGCTCAAAAATTAAGTTAGCGTATGGTTGCCAAACATGGCAGCCGCATAAAATCCATCCTTCCAAATCAGGAAAAATAATAGGAGCTTAAGCTAGTTGTTATATGAAAAGTAATTGTTGGCTAATAAGCTAGATGTTAGTTGATAAACTAGTCATGTTTGGTCAAAACCTAGCTGATAAAGCTTAAATGACAATGTAAAATGACCTAAAAGGACATGCTGTTGGAAAAATATAAGGGCATAATTGGGGGAAAAAGTTACTAGGCAAACAGGTCTTTTTTAATAAGCTCAAAAAATAAGCTAGCTTACGGTTGCCAAACACATCAGCTCGTTGTAAAGATAGCAAGCGGGGTGAGAGAATTACAAAATGGCAGTAACTCCTCGACAATATCGTTCCCACATGGTGCGAAACCTCCGTTGCCCTCCAAGGTCCCAAAGCTTTATTGTCACGTTCCCTTTGGTGACTTTTCGCATATTGAAACCGACCTAATTAAACAATTTCAGGTACCATAATAACCGGTAAACCAAGAAAACGAAAAATAAATAAAACAAAAAATACCTACAGTTGGAATCATATCTTCACTATAGCCACCCGTCTGGTGATTAAGAAAATAAAAAGTTAACAAAATTCAGCTATTTTACGGAGAAAAGAAGAAGAAAATATGGAAAACATAAAAAACCGCTTACAGCAATGGAATTCACAAGAGATGTCTTTCCAGCATCTTGAAGGCCAACAAGGGAAAGTTCCATTTCCTGTTTGAAGAACAAACTGATATCCATACGTCGTGAGAACCACAAACTTAACTTTAAATACTTAAAGATCAAATAAACATTCTCATGATATAACTTTTAACCAAACGAAACCAAACCAAACGAGCCCAGTATATCCCAGCCGGAGGTGGGGTCAGGGGTAAGATGTACACAGACCTGACCTCTACCCTAATGAGTAAAGCGGTTGTTTCTATGAAGACCCCTAGCTAGTGAAAAATGTGTTAAAGGGAGATTAACTTTGTTCAAAATTGAAGCCACATTTTGGCTTCTAGGGCCAAAAGATCTATCGTTCAAATCTGTAATTACTAAGATTACTTTTTATTTGGAAGCAAAAAATGTCATAGGGTATTGTTTTTACCTCAATCTATCAAATTTGGAACCTCCAATTGACTATTGACCACAAAGACAAAATTTATCTCAAGTTTTAGAGCAAGAAAAGTGGTATAATAAGTGGCCTTTGGCTTAACGGTGTCAATGATTCTCTACTACCCTTGGTTGTGAGTACAATAGTTCATTCGCGGGTCTCAGTGTATCAGTTTGTTGCCCATTTCAGAAAAGAAAACATCAAACGAGAAGAACTTTCTACTTCTATAATACAAATTCCCTTCAGAAATCCGCTTTTAGAATCTTGAAAACAAGTGTAGACAATCTTTGAAGCTCTTAATACACCAGCGGCCCCCTCAATCTTGTGACTTGATACAGATTCATTACACGTTTTTCTTACACAAAACAACAATTGGTTTCTTGGATATAGCTGGATAAAGAACTTGACATATCCCATGACGCCCTGAAGTTAACAATCAAACCGTCGAGTAGACCAATGGGGATTTGAACCGGTCACCTCTGGGAGTGATTGTTATCGACAGCATTATTTGCTAACCGTGGGCATCCATGCCGGCTTACGCACACCTTGACTAATCCCATGAGACCTTGAAGTTAACAGTCAGCAAACCTAGGAACCGATGACTGCGGGTATGATTGTTATTGGCAACACTGTTTTGGTAACTGTGAGTGTCTAAACCAGCTTAAGCACACGTTAACTATCTGACCCTGGAGCTAACAGTCAAGCAAACCATCCAATGGCCAGCATTGTTTCATTCACATTCAGAAACCAACAAATCGGTTTTCTTGGAAATAGTTATATCACATAAATAATCCACCGTACTATTGACTGCAGCTATGACCCATGTACGTACCAATTTTAGACTCATCCATGGAACCACCACAATAATCATAAAAACCGACCATCGAATTGCAGAAAACGTAAATGCAAAATTCAATCAAATCCCAAGTGCATTGAAGCAGTGGCACTACAAACCCCCGTGATTTCTGCTTCTAATTTTATAATCGAACAAGAAGTTGGTGTCAAGAATGTAACAAGAACATATAGTAACCACAAATTTAACAAATACAAGTTCGATGTAAACCCCATCAACCATTGAAGTAAACTGAACAAAAACTCTCAAAAACAGCAAACAACTCGAAATTAGAGCACCATAAAAGGGGGGAAATCGTGATATTTGTTACCTGCGAAGCCAATTGAGAAGAGAATCCCACAAACCCATCTGGAAAGAGGAAAATGGGAAGAACCCTAAAAGTGTTCTTGAAATCTCAGAAGGAGAGGAAGGGAAATTGGGTATCCAAAGCAAGACAAGAGGAGGGAAAAGAGAGGTGTAGAAGTGTACGTTTCGTTGTTCTTTGGCAATCAAAGTAGATCCACGTAGGGGTTTGGAGGCACAAGATAAACATAAATCATATGATTAATTTGTAATAAAATATAGACTAAAATCAGATAAATATATTTTTAATTTTATTTATCAATTTTTGTTTGTTTTAATTTAAACTATAAGGGTACTCGCATAATGCAAGGATATACATTTTAATTCTAATTTTTCGTTTTATATTTTGGATCTATCGATGTTATAATGCGATTTTATGTGGTTTTAAGAAAAAAAATGTTTTTATTTTTGAATGAAATATAAATTTAAAGATATTATAAAATGTTAAAAAAAATAAGCGATATTAGTATCAAATTAACTATCTAAAAGTTATCGTTTTTGTTTACTTTCTTTAATTTAATTTTTTATTATAATTTAATTGAAGTTTAAAAACGAATTAATTTATTTTTGATTTAATAAAATATTTTTTTAAGATAATAATTAATTATTATGTTAGAACTTAATAATTATCCTAATTATATTTTTGATATTTTATAATTAAAATGAGATGTTTATTTCTAAGATTATCGTTTATCTGTAGTTAGTTACACAAATACATACATAAAGCTTTAATAAGTTGTACTTACGCATAATTTACTTGTAATCTTGAATTTCAAGTAATATGTATCAATAAAAAATGGTTTTTAAGAGTTTTTGTCAAATATTTTATAATATAACTAGTTGTGTACCCGCGCAATGCAGCGGGAGCCGTGAATTTTAACGATTTTGAAGCTTCAGTGGTTTTGTTAGAGGAGATTTTAACGATGATATAACTTACACTTGGTCTTTACATAGTAATACAATTTGAATAAATAAGTGTTATGGTTCAAATTACATTCTACCAATGAAAATTTTGTATGACAGTTTAGAATCCAATGTAATCATATGATATTGATCGACTGTGCAATTTTAGTTGGATGAACAACTGATATACAATAAACAATTTAATTAGATCAACTCCATTTAAAGGGTCGTTTATTAAACGTTTACCTGGTAAACGATTACTGATCCATTTACCTACTAAATTAACATGACAAGTACCATAATTAAAGTCGACAAAAGCGACGATAAAGATGGAGAGTCTTACTCGATAACTCAACATATTAACACTCCTTTCACAACTCATTTTGGTATAACATACACTACTTAGTTAAATGACTCCAAATGTGTTCTTTGATGTTTAATCCATTAAAAAATAAAATAACACCTAAAAGTTTAAAAACAAATCATCCCACAAGAACACACAGTCAACAATCATCGAGCTTTCAAAAAGCATTATCGATTAAAACTTGAAATTTCTGAGAATCGTTATACATAGCGTTTAAAATGGTAATGATGGCTTGCTGTAGCTGCGCTTGTAGCGTTGCCGCAACTGCCTCCTGCACCCTCGCCTTTGCCTGCCAAACTTGAGCCTCTGCGCTAAGCTGCAATGCCCGAGCCTCCAGATCGGCTTGCAAAACGCCTTCACCTCCTTGTCCCTTTATCATTTGTGACGCCGACTCCTTCGCCGCCCTGATCAGCACAAAATAATCAGCACAAAATAGTGTTGTCGCCTCTTTTCTGCTAATTTACGCCTAAGCTCTTCTTCCTGCAAGAAAACCATTTTCAGCTATCAAATTGCCAAAAACAAATCCATATTTTCAATTTGTTTAATGAATTCTTACCTGGACTTGAAGATAATGCTCAATTTCATCTCTTTGTTGATGGATTAGGTTGGATAAGTATTCTGATAACAAAGATGCAAAACCAGAGGATTGAGAAGAAATAGAGTGTTGTTGATGGTGGTTCGACATGAATTGATTCATCATATATTCTATTCCGCTTTTCCTTTGATTCGTACTACAATTCCCACCTGTAACAACACAAAAATCCAATTATTCCAACATAAATTGATAAAACCATGTTCAGGCTTTCATATAAAACTTGGATAAACAGAAGAACCTTTACATATATCCATACCTAGAAAATTGTTGAATAAGATGTGGTTAATGGATTGATGATCAAGAAGAGTAGTAGCTAGTACTCCTCCACCACCACCGTCGCCACCAACGTCGCGCCTGGTTGTGGTGGCAAAGAATACTTGTTTCCCATTTGGGTTTTCCCTTCCTGTATGGTTCTGCATGATAAAACGAGGTTATTTTGATGATTCAATCCAAGATACGTGCCGATTTTCACCCAGTGCCTAGAAACCTATTCTCGGAAATGTTAGATGCAAAATAATATCATCACAGCCTAGATATGTTTCCGATAACCATGGCGACGACCTCGGATATACCTCCAGAACGGAAAATAAAATTGAAAGCCGTACCATAAGCATCATCAACAGCTAGCCAAATAACCATTAAACTACTCAAGGAAAACATCATATTTTATAATGGATAGCTTACAAGATGGGATGCACACGAGAGCACATGAAAGAGCCTGTCTAATGCATCCCTTTCTCTGTTGGTTTATAACTAAGGTAAATCCTGATTCCTTTTCTACACATTTATATATGAGATATGTAGAGTAAATACCCCCCACCCAAAAAAACCACTACTATCAACCTAGATGAAGAAAAACAAGAAAACAAATCCATATGAGCAAAAATAGACCAAGATGTCAAATCGAGAAAACAAGAAAACAAATCCAGATGAGAACAAAACTCCTCAACCAAGATCTTACCATGTACCTTGGAATCATCCCGAGGCCCAATTCTCCCCTCATCAATAGCCTCTGCAAGTCCTTCCTCCATTGTCCTAGCTTCCATGTACAAACGATTGTGCTTATTGGGACACTTGCTCATCACAGTTCGGATAGAAGGTTAATAAGAATATCTATAAAAACTATAATCAATTCTAAAAGTGTGAAATCTAGCTAAGAAGTTTTCTAAAAGTGTAATTGGTTTAGATAAAACAAACAACAAAGAGAAAGAATATATATAAACTATAATCCATACAATTATAAACTTACAATTATAAACCACACTTGTCGTATACATAAACTTGGGCATGAAAAAAATGCTTGTTATTCAAAAGGGTCCTCTGAAGTTACCAAAGTTACTGTTGTGTTGTAAAAAAACCACTGTTGGTGTTGTAAACATTAGGTTAGAAATATTCTTTCTATACTCATATTCAAAGGTTGGTGTTTCCTAAACATGAGCATTGACCAAGATGATTGCATGATTTCAAGTGTGAGATTCGTTACCATTTAGCCTTGACCTGGCAGCAGGAAGACTCCTCAGGAGCATCTCCTACCTGGTTCTGCAACCATCAATAGGTTTTAAAAAGAATGAGCTTTAAGATGAACTACAACAAACTCAAGTTTTATCATGAACACTCAAAACCCATAAAAAACCTACAAAGTTCAACATACTATAAATCAGAAAAGACCAAAAAGGATAGGTTTTCAATTAAATTTCAACTACTTACCTTCTTTCATATGAGGAAATCATATTAGGGCTGAAATAGAGCCACATTGACAGTATAACAAAATCAAAAATTAGGGTTCATAAGGTTTACAAAAAATGAGTTGAAATTCTAACATTTTTACTTGGAATTTATGATATTTCCTTTTGAAATTTTATAAAAGGAAGTGTTTAGGATTCTTTTAATTTTCTTGCAAGACTTGGCATCGACGATAGTCCACCATGTGATCCAAATGACTTTCAGAAACCATGCTGGAAAAATACAAATGCATACAAGTTATAGAAATAACAAAACAGTACTTCACAAACTGGTCATCCCAAAATTCCACCAGGAAATTATAACCTGAAGTCATCTGATTCAAGATTAATCTKAAGTGAACACTTGAATATGATCTGTTATCTTTCCCTGTCATGCAGATATTTTAAAAGGAATTCATGAGAATTTGCATTTTGCAGCTTATTACTTCCAAAATCCATAGACAAGGTGAGACTCATCAATCCCTGTAAAAGTGAAATTTATATTTCAAGTCTTTATGCCTCAGATTCCATAAGTAATCCAACGAGTAAACGRCTGAATGATTTCAGTTGCAACATTTCTAGCAGTTGACATTTATATTTCTACGAATTCAAGATGATATCATATGTGTTATACGTATTTTGATTGAATTAAAACTTCTAAAGCTACTACAAACCAAGAATGAAAAAAAGATGAATCAATTATAAGAAGCAACATGAAATATACAAAAAAGAATCAACGAAACTGATTTCTATTAACATTGAACTCCCATCATCAAAAACCCAGTTGAAATTCCAWGTCTAAAGCAAAACACAAGTAAAAACATCATCTAATTATGAGGAACAACAATAAATATCCAGAAAAGGGCTAAACTTGGGCACCTTTTAGTCTCCTTTTSCACCAATATATCCTTCTTTTCTCCCTTCGAATCCAGGCCTCATGAGCTTCTTCTCCCTCTTTGCAATCCTCCTCATCTTCTTATGGCTAGCTCTCTTCTCTATGTTCCCTCTTCTCTTTGCCTGCTTCTCCTCCCTCATCTTCTCCATCGTCTCTACCCTCTCTTTCCATATTCTAATATTCCTAAAAGGTCCAAAAACGAAATCATAATTTGACTTATACAAGTATATTGGATAACATTAAAACTTCACTTGAATAACCTAAGTACACAACCAATGATACAGTTATATGTTCATAACCAAAATAAAAAATTCACTACAATGTGTTCTTGGTGTCTTTCCCAATGGATTCTTGACTGCATCAACCCCTTTGCTTGATAGTATGTCGATGTTAAACCTGTTCGTAATCGTTGTTCTAGTAAAACCATAATCATATATGCATCTTAAATTACACAACTCTTGCATAAATCAAGATTCTTATCACCTTAAAGTTGCTACGGGTCGAGACTTGTGAAAAATAATGGAAGTTGCTTCAACGGAATCAATACCAAATGGAAYTGGCAGGAGTCAATCTACCATAACTCTGTATGAACCAAACTAAAATCTGAATGTACTTCAAACTTANTGGAAAATCATGGTCGAACTCTGAATCATTGGACTAAATCTGGTGACATGAAATAACTTTGTGTAAACGAAACCGTAACTCTGATTACGTTGAATAATTATATAACATCATAAAAATATTCAATTCGAATTATGYATTGAGTCTGTTGTCTTAACTCAAACTACGAAAACAGAATATTCTTGAACTCTGAAATCAAAGTGATTAATAGCAATCTGTATTGACATTTTATGCGAAGTCTGACAGCCACTCATCTTGACTTCCACTCATCTTACAAACTACCTGCAAGATCAAATAGATATGTGATTATTTGTTGCTATTTGCTGTTGTATTTGACAACATTTTACTAATGTAATTGTGTTGTATTTTGACAGCATTTTCTGCTGTATTTTGATAACATTTTTGTTGTAATTCTGTTGTATTTTGACAACATTTTATGCCCAATTAGTTTGTTGTAAATATAAGTATTTAAACAGTAGTATTGCTAAGTTGAACCCATTTTGTTAAACAGTAGTCATAAGCTACTAACAAGTACAATAATTCTTTTTTACATCCTGTTGCATTATAAAGAACTTTTAATACCACCGAGTATTTCAAACATATCTTGCAAAAATTTGATATTTAAAGTTGTAATTATTATTGATAGAACATTTTCATTCCACCGTATTGTGCAGGTACATAATTAGTTAACCTTTTTATGTACTTAGGGGTCCTTTAATAAATGTTTACCTAGTGCGTGCTTATTGGCAAGAGTCACCACTCACTTACCTTATGGGGTAACATTCCCGGTCATCAAATTGGGTAATTGGTAACCGTTTGTAACTCGTAAGAGCTTACCGGGTAAGAGTCATTACCCTCACTTACCAGGTAAGATTTTTGGTTCTTGTTATGTTCACGCGGTAAGGTAATTGATCCGGTAAGCGCTTACCAAGGTAAATGTTTAGTATACTTGTTTATAACTTAAGGTTTATTAGCATGTTCATATTCTTGGAACTAATTCATACCTTCATTGAAAGATTGTTGTAGTTCTAAGATGATCTCAACTTATGACCCTGATTAAGTTGGGAGTTGTTAACTGTAAACAACTTGAAATTTTGATCATTAACGATGTATTGGACATGTTGTTTATGATTGATTGACAGCAGTGTTATGACATCWAAAACTTCATTATTGTATTGCCYMTTTTTTTTGCTCATAGATCACTGTRTACTAACCAACAAAARCATGTTGGATTTTGCAAYTTGTTTACATGCTKGRGGGGGGGGGGGCTGTTTTTATCCCTTAACAACAAAATCATGAAGAAACAGCTGCTGCCATGATTTTTTAAGAGAACCTTTAAGACTGTTCTAAAACCTTTATGTTAAAAACTTGTTCCTTGAGACCTATTAACTAAGGCCCTGTCGGGTTTCAGCATTCTGTCTTTTTAGATTCTGAACTCATTATGTTCTTTTTTGTATAACAATTTGTAACTTTTTAGTACCTCATGTCATCTTTCGATTATTATTCTAAATATGATTCATGACATTTATTTGAGTTGAAAACTCAGTGCCCCTGTGATGTGGGTCTATTACACTAAGGGGCCGTTTACCAAACACTTATCCGGTAAGTGCTTATCAGTAAAATTTTACACTATTTTTTACTTACCGGGTAATATTTTGGTCCACCAAAACGACATCGTATCCAACAATTTACCTGGTAAGCTCTTACAGTGGTAAGAGTCGTTGTCCTCACTTAGCGGGTAAGACTCTTGGTTCTTGTCTCGCTCTTACCGGGCAAGATTTTTGGTTCTTAGCATATTCATCCAGTGAGGTAGTGTGATTTGGTAATCGCTTACCCGGGTAAGCATTTGGTAAACGGCCCCTAACACTTATTTGTTATGTCTGTTACTTTCCCCAAGCATTCTGGCTACCCCTAAAATGTTGTATGTTATTGTTGAGGGAGAAAATGAACTGTCAGATGGAGTACATGGAATCAATTAAGAAGCTTGAGGAGAGGTGGATGACCAGTCAACCAAAACATARAATTAATGGCAGTCATGGTGGAGAGGTAATCATAATCTAGTTTAATGTATCAATATTTTTGTTCTCTCTCTTTTCTTTCAACAATTTGCAAGAGATGGTAATCAAGCCTGAATATGYGTACTAATCCTAATTAGCAACTTGTGTAYTGATCCTAATCAAGCTTGAATATGTATACTAATCAACAATGACTGGGATATTTTATCCTAATCAAGCCTAAAATGTATTTTGCTGACCTATATCCCTCCCCATCCCATTAATTCTAAAAAAGAACAGCCTACAAATGCAACATGAAATGTAAACACAATAACAGGACAATGGCCATATGTCAATCCRACAATGACCAGACRTGAGAAAACTCGTATACCTTTGAATACAGTGGCTCGTACAGTTTCTGGTATTTCAATTCCAATGTTGCTCTCTCTGCAAATGATAAAACATCAGAAGCAGTTAGCATTGAGCAAAAGAATTACAAAGTATGAAAATAAATAGCCTTTCAAAGCAAATGATAAAACATCAGAAGCAGTTAGCATTGGTGAAGAATAAAAATTAAATAAAAATAAAAATAAAAATAATCAAAGCCAATTCCCAAAACCCCCCCTTACTTCCAAAATTGGAAAACACAGCGTTAAACCCTTCCCTGCAAAGCGTCGTGGTTCTACCAAAACGATCAAACAGGCCGGCGGAAGCAAGAGATTGGATGATGATTATCCGTTGCCGGAGCAGGATACTGGTGGCCGAAAATCCGACGCTGCTAAGAACTTTTTGTACGGTGGTGGAAGAAGCGAATGATGTGGCTGAGGTTGTGTCGCCGCCATCCAAAGAATCCTCAAATGAAAAGCGGTTATACAGAAGGCTGTCGGCGTTGGGAGCCACCGGAGGATCAACAGCACAAACATTAAATCAATATATTAGAGAAGGTAATTTCATCAAAAAGATCGAGTTAGAGAGATGTGTCAGAGACCTCCGCAGGTACGGCAAGTACCACCACGCTCTCGAGGTATGTGTTTTAGTTGCTTGATCTGAAAAAAACAATCAGTTGAGTTGCTTTCGTGTCGATTGTTAGGGTTATAACATCTATAATGTAACTATTTCAGAAATCTAAATTAGGGGCTCATCTCCTATTCTTCCATCGTCTATGAATTCTTACTGTGAAAGGTTATTCCAAATGATTGATCAGAGATAGAAGTTTACAGGGAGTATGATTGAAAATTTTCTAAATTACTGTTTGTATTAACGAACTATTGCATCAAAATTGGGTTCTTGCCACTCCTTAGTATGTTCTTCATTGTTGTAGGGGTAAAACATATATCTATATTTGATAAATCTCATCTGACTTCCATAATCACTGCCTGAATGAGTAGAACAATATGTAGTTTGGCTTAGAGATCTTAGATTTTTGTAGCAGTTATGTACTGTTCTTCAGTATGCATATTCTTAGTAAACCAACTGTTAATGATCATATTCAAGATGAATACACTGATAATTACCTCGAATGAAATCGGTAGAGAAACGATGAATCAGGGAGCGAAATTACCTGAATCGTCATCTTGGATTTGTAGATGCTTGAATTTTTTTAGGTTTTATGAAATCGTTTAGGGTTTATGAAATCGAAATGGGATAGGATGAAATCGAAATGGGATAGGATGAAATCGTTTAGGGTTGCGATAAAAATGGGATTGAGAATTAAACGATTTCATCGAATTGGTTAGGAGCGATAGATTGGGATTGGGATTGGGATTGGGATTGGGGTTGTGATAAAAAATGGGATTGGATTTAGAAACGGGGGGTGTTTAGGATATATGCTTTAGTAGGTTGTACCTAAAGCAATAGAAGTTGTTTTTAAGAGTTTAAGAGTTCAAGAGATTAAGAGTTTTAACCAAATGTATTATAAGATAGTATAGATATAGATAATAAAATAAGATGAATATATTTATAATTATTAAATTATAATTTTATATTAATCTTAAGAGGAAATCACATGAATTGTCAATCTATTTCACAAAAACTACTTTAATTGTCACTCTAATTTAGAAATTATATTAGAACTTTTGACCTTTGAATATGTTTGTATGGATCGTTTTTTTTCTTAACGGTGGTTGATGGCATCCGTTAAGTGTCCTCACGTGTTATCATGTGAGGCGGATCTTAACCATTTTGCAACAATTTTAATAAAAAAATAATTTGGGTGCACACGTGTTTAAAGTGTGTGTACAAGTTTTTAAAACATTTAAAACGAAAGAAAATCCAACCCCTCCTCCTTGTCGTCGCCACCTCCTCCTTCAACAATAAACGCACTTCAAGAATCCACTTTAGGGGGGGAACCACTAGTTAGAATCATAAATATGAGAGGTTCTTCAACGTTCTTTTGAAGTTCTTGGATCCATACTTGAGAACCTGCTTGCTAATAAATCAAACTATCATTGAGCCAAAACAAATCAAACTTTGGTCTGAATCGTAGGAGAAGGTGATATGAGCCTCCATTAAGGCATATGATAAACATGCAAAACGTGAGAAAAAAAGAAAAAAAAAACTTAATCAAAGAGTGAGATTTCTTCATCTCCGCAGTGGTGAGGTGACAATGGCCAAAAGAAGATGGTTGCTTGTTGAAAAGTGAAAGGGAGCCGTGATGGCGAGAAATCTGTTTGGCTTTGTCGATTAACACGAATATGCTAATTCGCAATAGATCTCATCATATCATCCATTAACGAAGGTAGGAGGTTGCTTAAACGGATCATCGGAGGGTTTGGTTAGGGAGGCATTGAGCTTAAGGGTAGGTATGGGTGGATTTTCTTTTGTTTTGTTTCTTTACAAACGTTCTGGAACTTGTACCCAACTATTAAACAAGTGTACATTAAGTTTATCTAATGATAAGATAAATTCTATCTATACCCTCTCCTTTTAAACCTACACTTTTTTTCCATCCCTCTTTATGCTAAAAGACAAGATATCTTAATTAAATTTTCATTTTTAATGTTTTTTATAATTTTTATTTTGGACCTTATACTTTATTGATTTATTATTTAACCCTTTTAATATTTTTCTTTTACTTATCATGTTTTTTCTATTTTTTTACCTAATCAAACTAATCTATACTATATTATAAAACATTTGACAAAAATTCTTAAAAATCATTTTTTTATGTACGGAGTACTATTTATTGATACACTAGAAGTGTACTCGCGCAATGCAGCGAGATACATCGTGTTTTTAATATTTCATTTTATTCTTTATCTCAGTCGATG